TAATCGTAGTGTTTACGTTCAAAATATTAAAAATAAAAATATACAGAAGGATGTATAATGTAAATTCAGAAGCGATTTATAATTAAAGATACTAATTACATTGAAATATATATATATAATATATTAATATTTATAAGAAACAGTTGTAATATTAATTTGAAGAAAAAAAATACAAATTTTACAATTATATAATTGTATCGTTATCTAACTATCAAAGTAATAATAATATTATACTATTTAATCTATTATGAAATTATTTATCATTATTGATCTATTTTAAATTGATTATTATTTAACGATAAATATAATAATTGCAAAATATTATTAAATAAAAAATTTAATATAATATTAATTATATAATAATAAATAATATTATATTAATTATATAATATTATTATATTTAATTATACTATATTAAAATAATATAAATAATATTTTTTATTTAATTTATTATTTAATATATGTACATTTAATATAGTATAGTATAATTTAGTACAGATATACTAAATTTATATTAAAATAATTGTTATATTGTGTTAAAAACAAAATTATTATTATTATACTACAAAAAAAATAACTTGATAACAACGATTTATTTAGAGCAACGAAAATGTGCTAAAATAATGTTTAAAAATTCGAATGTAATATAATCTTACATGTTTCTCGACTATAGTCGATCTTTTGGTGGAAATCGATAGTTGTTTGTCGATTATGCGACGAGTGTTTGTAGACAAGCGATGAGCCGTAACGTGTACTAGCAAGGCGCCGTCTAAAAGTCATCTCGAATGACTACGTGCATCTATTCTTACGTTCTATTATGAAACAAGTATATATGTAAGTTCATAGATGAATATACACATATATGTATGTGTGTATATAGAATACAATATACTTCGGTTATGAGTATATAATAAATATATAAAACATTGAATATATATATAATCGGCCTCCTTTCGTTGAAAAAGCATGAAAATGAAATTCACTTTCTTAAATTTATTTTAGTTATTAGATTAATAATTTTATTAATGGTTTTTTATATATGCAAATACTAATTAATGTTTAACATTTTTTATTTTTTTTTGTATATGAAAATATTCCAAATTTTATTATTATTTATTTTGTGTAGTTTCTGTGTTTTTTTTTCTAATTAATTTTTATATTTCTATGTAAATCAGAATTTTTATATATGTTTTTAAATTAATATTGGTATAATTAAATATTTTCATTTTTTCAAAATGCGTAATTTTATAATTACATTTCAAGTAATAATTAAAGAAAAATTTTGTTTACAAACTTTGTTAATGTTAAATTTTTGTGATTCACAAGTAATTAAAGATTTACTATTTAGTATTGAAATATTAAAATAGTTGATCAGAGAAATAAGCTAAAATAAGAATTGCAATAAATTATTGATACTTATTAGTAAAATAAAGTGAATACAGATGTTCTCGAATCCAGTTACTAATTGTAAGTTACATTGTTGGTTTCACTGGAGGATTTACCTGGGATCGATTAAGAAAGTTTATTCGAGAAAGAAAGAGAGACAAAGAGATAGAGAAAGGAAAGGTGAAACAGCTGTACTCACACGGCGAGACAACTAACGTCAACGTCACCTAACTTACATTTGTTCCTCCATTTTTCTGCCATTCCTTCTAACATTTAATAGTCGAGTAATTAATTTGATTATACCTCACTCTCTTTTATTCCTTCTATTTTTTCTCGTTAAGTGCGAGATAGTAACTGCATGATAAATAATGAATTGTATTAAAACACCACATTTATTAAACTTCTTACCGAAGGATAAATAAACAAAAATGTTTGTACTACATGTAATTAAATATGAACAAAAAATATTACGTATATTTATACAGCACGTTTGAAAATATTTTAAATAAGATAAATTAAAAATCAACTAGGTTTGTAGTTAGGCTTATAATTTAATGATTAAAAAAAAAAAAATGATTTAGAACAGTGCTTGAGAATTAAATTTTGTAATATAAATTTATATATTTTTGAATAACCATCCTATAGAAAGGACAATATATTTTTGTGATTCTTTGCTATAAAGATTTATTTTCCATGCAATGAGAATGAAGGAAGCATGACCGCTGGTCCGCAATCTTCATTCGTGCGAATCGATTCGGACAGTAACTATCGATCTATCTCGGTCGATTCGTTCTAAACGAAAACTAGAAAGATTCTTGAGAATCGAAACTTTCGCAAAATCCCGTGAAATTGGATATAAATTCGCGAATGGTGAAATTGTGATAAATATAAGAACTACATGAGAATTAGATTAAAAAATAAATTTATTAATACAAGAATTAAATTGTATATAAAACGTAATTATAAAAATTAGTTGAAAACGTTCAATCAAATGAAATATGAAATAAATTGGGCACAAAAAATGCGATAAATTTAAATGAAAAATTCAAAATTTATACAAAGTAATTTTATAGGAATCAAATAATTATTATATATTATAAAATTATTAAAATTATATATTATAAAATTAAAAATGACCAAAGTTATTATAGGAATCAAATAATTATTGTATAAAACCAAATAAGAAAAGAAAAATTTAAAGAAAATATAAACCTCACTCGCAGGTACAAAAACTTTTTTCAAAAATAATTAAAACTAACAAAAAAAAATCTGTTAATAAATTATATAAATTTGATATAAAAAAATAATAAAATAAAAATAAAAGTACGACAGAGAAAAATCAGAAGGAATTCTGCGAAAGGAACAAAACAAAAAATAAGGAATAAATAAAAGTAAAAATAAAGAAACAAATAAATAAAAATAGAAAGTGAAAGGAACCACCGAAGAGTAGAATAAAAGATGGCGAACGTTAGAATGGTAGAGATCGGAGGTCAGTCCACTCAAAGAGACATACAGAAAGATAGAAAGAGAGAAAAAGAGAAAGAGAGAAGATAGGAAGATGTTTACTGGAACTGGACTCTCCAGAAGAGTCTTCCCTACTACTAATACTATTACTACTACTACTATTACAACTACGACTACTACTACTATACTCGTGCTCGCTAAAGTCTTCGGTTCGATGCTCCAAGCGATTCGTGGAAGCGAATCGCAAAACGTTGCCCCTTTATCCTACAGGCATTTCCACCTTCCCAAGATATTCTTTCTCTTTATCTTACTTCTCCATGGAAACATAGGCATTCGTGATGGAAATAATTAAGAGCAACCTCTCGGACTTCTAAGAACGAAGAAAACCTTTCCAACGTCATTTGAAAAATTTTTAAATCATTATCCCTTTCTCTATATATTATATTTTATTATTTCTCTTTTTTTCTACCATTTATTTTATGGTAGATACATGAATTCTATTTATACATACAATGGAAATAGAAATATACTGTGTATATATATTTATATTTATATTTATATATTTATTATTAATTTGTGATTATATTTTATCATAAATTATAATAATATATTATTAAATATACATATATTATTTATAATTTATATGTACGTTGAAGTATACATGTATATAGATAATAATTAGTCGACTAGCTTCCGGAGATTCGGTTAATTCGCTTAAATAACAAACATAATGCGACATGGCAGCATTAAAGTCTCCTTATGCCACTTATGACCAAACGTAACGTCTCGAAACGTTTATGAGTTACCGGATACCGTATAATTATCTATGTTATACAGCAATATCTATAGAAATGTTGTAAGTATAGATGTAAGTACCATAGTTTGAATAAATTTACATGGTGTCTTTCACCTGGTTAATGTCGATAAGCTACATAAGAAATTTTATGATCGATTTAAGAAATGAACGAAATAAAAATCTTTTAAAAGTTAAATTATTTAACTGAAAGTATTCAATTGTAATTAGAAAAATTCTTAGAATAACGATTAGAAGAAAATTAAAAGATCGATTCATTAACGAAAAATTCTTCGATATAATTATGTATTATTAAAAGACTTAGGTTTTTTTTAAAGATATATTTTTTAAATAAATTTTCTAACAAACAAACAAATTAGAAACTCATTGAATCTAACTCGATTTGAAATCGTCTCCTTTTCGCGCGCTTTCACTTGTCGTCACGGAAAAACACGATCACGTTCGATCAATCCTATCTGTGTTTTAATAATATAAGTATACAAAACGTACCATGACCATTGGTACGTCAAATGACTGATTGTCAAATTTTTCGACCAAAATTTCAAACAAGTTATATATATATATATAATACTATTTGATGAGTCCAGAAAATGATTTGATACGTTTAGTATAATTTGTGATCTTAGAACAATATGAAAAAAGATTAGATTTTTCAAATGGCAACCAACATAAATTAGATCCCGTATTCTTGTTGTTGGGTTGACGATGGACCGTTAACCATAGCCAAAGGTGGCTTCGACGCATACAAAGGATTAATGTCCGTGTAAGGTTCGCGAAGAAACAGGTGGCCGCGTTTCACCGCGACGTGGAATGTGCAAAACGAGTGGCACGCGAGTTTATCCTCTCCTTGCTTTTTTAACCGGACACAGTCATCCTAAAGTACCCCTCTTTTTATTACGTTAAATTCAGTTTTTGTTTTATTTTTATTATACTACTTGAATTTCTCACGTTCGTATCACTAATTTTAACGTACTATTTTTTAATTTTTCATTTAAAAAAGGTCTACATAAAAAAAGGTAATCGAGAGATGTATGAATTAAAACTTTTATAGATATAAAGAAACCTTATGAATAAAACATTTAATTCTTTTGAATAATAAATATTACAATTTTTTATAATAAATTTTAGAAAATTTAATATTATTTTATATTTAACGTTAGGTTAAGATTTTATGAGCTTAATATTATTATAGAATATAAATATGATGTAGTTTTTAAATTTTTATAATACAAATAAGCTTCATGTATTTTATATAGAAAAAAAAATAAAATTTTTTTATTAGATACGAAATGATCGATATAAGATACAATATAATAAAACAAGAAATAAAACTCACCCTATGCCTGCCTTCTAATCCATCCGAAATCGTATCCAGAGCAAGATCATATCACACTAACAACCAATACTTGCAAATTCGTTATGCACTAATAACAAAACAATAAGTCCAAAAAAGGCAAAGAAAACTAAGAAACTAAAGAAGAACAATAAAAAGAAAAAGAAAAAAAACAAACAAATAAAATTAATTACGAATTCTCACATAATACCCGACACTGTCTCAATATAAAACGAAAGAATAAAAAATTCATCAACACTGTCAAATTCATTTCGATGATTCCTTTTATGAAAGTCCAATTATCACCAAAAAAGAAAATTAGGTCCTTCCTTATTCTTCTAAATTTGGTTCGTTGTTTTTTTTCGATCACGACAGACGAACACCAAAAAAAATGGGGTGCATGTAACAAGTGCAACGGGTTTTTTTTTAGTATTGAATAAACAAATAAACGGAGTGGAGTTAGATAAAAGTTAAAAAATGGAAGGGGGTAAGAAAATAAGGAATATGACGAATAGGATGGATGGAAACACAAGGATGAACCGAACGGGCCGAACGTCGGCGAACGAGTGAGAACCTAGCGGCACTGTCGAGGGAACACGTTGTGACGTCAGAGAGAGGTTCTCCTCTCTTTTTGCCATTCCATGAGACGAGCGCCACGAGAAAGGTACCCGTACCACCTCGTATCCCCCTACTCTACTGTCCTTCTTCGTAAGAAATCTCCTCAAGCCCGAAGGGTACAACTATATAGTAGTAGTAGTAGTAGTTCTACTATCACTGCTACAATCCTCATCAATCAATGATGGTTATAATCGGTATCTGTCAATATTGGAGAAGTTACCTGTGTCCAAATTACATATATATATACTAATCTAATAATTTTTATAAGAATTAGTGTTCACATGTCGACAGTCATACAGAATATGGTAATAGTACTAGTATTATTTTTATCAATCAATGATGGTTATTAATTCGGTATCCTTCCATTTTGGAGAACGTTCTTTAAACTTGGTATTATTGCTAAAATTACATATATGTACTTACCTAATAATTTTTATAATAATTATTGTTAACACTATAACTGTTGTATACAAATTTTATGTATCTCTCAGTATATAAGTTACACAATTCTACTTGTAAGATGAAATATTACAATATGGTAACGCCAGTCACGGTTGACCGACGTGACAATCAATGCGTGTTAACACTAATGGACTGTTTTTAAAATTAATTTCGAATAAATTTAAACACATTTTTCATTATTTCTTGATATATTATAATTTAAAAGAGATTTCATCTCTCTGGATCATTTAAGATCGTTTCTCTTAAACCTATTTTCAATATTATTTATGTTTATGTATTTTATAATTAACATATACCGTTATGATCTTGTTTCCCAATTATTCGTTACTTTGCATCCCTGTTTTAAGACAATAAATTTCATTTTCTCTTTCTTTCTCTCTCTATTTTATTCATTTTATTGCTAATTTATTCTACAGAGATATTTATCTTATTGTTGTCTTATTTTTAGGATACTTTTGCTTATGTCAACGAAGGGATAGAAACATTTTATAGCCCTGGAATGTTTTTAGTGGGCGTTCAAATCTATTTTGGAAAGAATTCTTCTCTCTCTCTCTCTCTCTCTCTCCCTCTCGCTTGCAAATAACAAAAAAGAAAATGAAGAAATAAAAAAAAGAATAAAACTTAACAAAATAATGGGATTTTGGAGGCGAGTTTCGAAAGAATTTATACAACTTTACCAGAGAACCTGTGGTATATTGACTAAAAAAAGCTTTCAGAGATATTTGATCTCCTTCTCTCTCTCTCTCTCTCTCTTTCTTTCTCCTTCTTTTTTCTTTCTTTTTCTTTTCTTTAACGAAAAATTGATTTTATTCGGGATTAGATACCTCTTGCCGCAAAAATTTGTGCTGGTATTGCCAACCTTTTTATGGGCCACTTTTATTTTCTGTTATTCTCAACGTTTCATTACTGTAATATCATATTCGCCTTCTTTTAACAAGATCCTTTTATCTTACCATTCACTAAATGTGAACAGAAAAAAGATTGATAAATAAAAAAATAATATTAACTTTTAGAACCTAAGTTCTGTATTCCTAATGCATATTCAAAACTGTCATTTCAAATAATAATAATAAAATACAGAATAAAAAAGGCTTCTATTAAAATAAATATAAATTTATATGGTATATAGTATGTTTTTTGATTACTATAATAAAATATATTATTTCATAATATTTTTTCAATTTTTATTTTTTTTTATATCAAAACACACATCTTTTTTTATATAAACATATCTATGTATATTTTTTAATACAGTACGATATCGCAATTAACTAAATTACTGCAACATAAATCTATTATTTAAAATAAAATTAGGATCATACTTGCTCAGTAGTGATCTCCTTGGTATGCACTATAATAAAAAAAAAAAATCATGTGGGCAAATAACACGTGTTAGAAGTGAAACCTTCGAAAAACTAAGTTTCGAGAGAGTAAGACGAATGCAAAATATCAGGTGTAGGATAATTGTAGGCTTGTTTTTTTATAATATTATTATCATAATATTTTTACCACTTTCAAAAATTATTTTACGTTTTATTAACATATAATACATAACATATTACACAGTAGGCAAGTTCTCAATTCGAAGAAATGAGACAAGTTGCTACTGGTAATTAAAAAAAGTATGGTAACTAAACACCTCTTTGCATGTAAGAAATGCGAAAACGCCTTTCGTAGAACTCTTTAAAACCTCCCTAACATTTTCTTTCTGCAAATTATCACGAAACTGGCATTAATATTCGGTCGAAAGACACTTAAATAAAAATTCACAACATTCAATTGCAAATCATCAAAATAGAAAAAAAAAATGTTACAAAAGTGATCCATTAAGATTATGCTTGTCTAGAATGAGTAAAAAGGATAAAGAGAGATAAATATTGATTAGAAGATATTTAATGAACTAGTGAGGTTTTTTCCGAAAAGTAGTGAGGTTTTTTCCGAAAATTAGTGAGGTTTTTTCCGATAAGTCCGTAGGGTCTCATCGGATAAGTCCGTAGGGTCTCGTCGGATAAGTCCGTAGGGTCTCGTCGGATAAGTCCGTAGGGTGTGTTTAATTAGGCCTCGTAGAAGAGTCTCGTAAACAAGCCTTGTTAAGAAAGCCTCGTAATCGAGTTTTTTATATTTACAAACTTTTCTATTTTATTGAAAAATTAGTATAAATTTCCTAAATACGCAAACATTATAATAAAAAAACATTTCTTTGGATATTTATAAAAAAATTATTTTACAATATTGTCTAATTCTTTTTCTCTCATGTATCTTATAATTAATTTTTTTTTTTTGTAAAATTTTGCAGACAATACAATTATTTTAATCTATATATTTCATAATCATTAATAAGAATAATATTTACGAAATAAATAATTTAATAATAATTTTTCAATAAAATAGAAACATTTTTAAATAGAAAAGAAATGACACGTTTGGTAAAAAAAAAACATACCACGCACCTTCTTTGTTTATGTCGACCGTCGGTTCGTTTGGACCTTATACTTTTGTCGCATACCTACGTGCTTACCTCTGTTATTCTTTTACCCTTCTATCGCTCCCACCTACAAACATTTCGAGTATCGAAAGAATATGTGTGTTACGCTTTGTAGTATGCAGTCGCACACAAACACACACATATACAACCAGGAACGATAACTACGAAGCATAGCATAAAGAGGAGACCGAGAATAGAAAAAACTGTGTAGCTATATTCCGTCTCATTCCCTCGCAGTCTAAATCCTATGTTTGTCTCTTTTTCTCTCATTATTTTGTATGGCAGCCGTTTCATAGCTTCGTTAAATAGCTCTGTTTCCGTTTATTTACTTTTCAGATCACTCCCATTCTAAAGAAGTTTTCACTTCAATAATAATATTATAAAAAATGAACCCAACAATTATCCTACTCCTGATATTCTGCAGTCGTCTCTTTCTCTCGAAACTTAGTTTTTCGAAGGTTTCAATTCTAACACGTGTGATCTGCCCACATGATATTTTTTTCTTTCATTATTTAGTATAGCAGCCGTTTCATAGCTCCGTTTCCTGACCGACCGTGTTTCATTTTTTTTCAGATCACTCCCTATTTTAAAGAAGTTATCACTTAAAAAAAAATATATTCATAGGTACTTTCATATGCATATACATAAATAAATATACATATATATATATATTATGGAGCATAATTTATATTCAAGCCATAATCGTTATTTGGTTAAAGGTATTCGTTACGCGAATGTCCGTATACGTTGCACTAACCGAGAAGCGAACACTTTCACGCGGATGCCGAGGCTTTAGTAAATATCATGGCCATATTTTCTATTCGCTCTTCTCCTGTTCGATCCTTTCCTACGACACAGATACCAATATTTTTTTTTCTTTTTCTATTTCTCTCTCTCTCTCTCTCTCTCTCTCTCTCTCTCTTAGGTACGTGTGGCATCGTCGTAGGTCGTTGAGTTACTTACAACATTACGTTAGCAACTTTGGTACTCTCTTCTCAACAACTCTGGAATTTGTAATATCGTTGACAGATATTGAAAGAGACGAATGTAAATACAGGGTGTTTCTTGAAATAATATAAATCAATTTTATCTCAAATAATATTAAATTAAATCAATGAAATATAAGTTAATTCTTTTCAATCAACAATAATTCAATGTGAATTTGAATTTATTTTTAATGGCTAGGATCATTCGAAAATTTATTCGTATGATTGTTAAACCCATTAAATAATTTTATTTTAAAAAATTTGTAAGAGATTTGAACAATTTGTTTTATCGTTAAGATATATTGAAATTATTCGATAAAATATTGTCTACTTTTTTTTGAAACACCCTGTAGTATTTATGTATATGTGTAGACCTCCATGATACTTGTTTGAAATCGACCTCGCCTCTTCTACATTCCTGTCGTACGATTGCCCTTTATTAGAACGGAACCATCGTTTATATACGACAGGTCATCATGATATTTCAACCTTGAACAGTCAGACAAGTTATCAATATATTTTGTTTGATCTCTTTTCACGATCACAGATTATTCATCTTCATAATTGATCATTAACATTAGGTATCAATTAATTATATATTCCTTTTCATAAGAAAACAAAATACAAAAATAATATTTAAAAAATAAAAATACAAAATTGACATTAAAAGTACAAGTTGGACAATCCTTTGAAATATAAAATATAAAATATACATATGCAAATTTAATTTAAAAAAAAAATACAAAAATTAATGTTATACATTAATTAAGTAGTATATCAACAATAAGTATGTGAAATGACGTAAACGAAAGAAATAAAAAACAAGTCAATATGATAACAGTTATCGATGATCGACGTATGAGAAATGATGGTTTATAGGGGAATTAATGTGTTAAAAGGAACAACGTTGAAAATGATATGGTTATTTCGAAGTTATCGATCCACCCTCTGAGAGAAATGTCATGGTTTAGTTCGTGAATATAAACCAGCTATAAGTATAAGAACATGATCCATATATATATATCTTGAATTCC